ATTACTCGTTAGCCGTGTTACATTCATGTGTAGATAAAGGTTTTCTTTGTTTTGCTATGTATTAAAATGATCTCTCTTTTTTCATGTAGACTCGGATAATATAAACAGAAACCAGAAAGTCTACGACCAGATTGATGTTGATCTTAGGACAGCTTTCGAGAATAACACTAAGCAGGGAGGAATATTGGATTTTGATGGAATTTCTGGTGCTTTGAAAGAGCTGAAGCTCACCTTCCAACCACTGCAAATTGCACAGCTTTTCCAAAACCATAAATCACAATACTTTCAGCAGGATGAATTCATGCAGCTCTTTAGCCCAATGGAAAGTTACCAGCTCCTCTCTGATGTGTTTAGCTCCTGTGATCCTAACAAAACTGGTTACAGGACAGCTTTAAAGGGCTGTGCTCTTTAAAGTCGGTCTTATAGTAAGTGGAGTCCAAGCAGCAAGTTTGGCAAGAATTAATGAACCGGAGCACAACCCTTGGTTTTCTATCTTTAGCGGGGGTCCACGACTGTCGTTCAAATCATTTATGTTGATCACATCCCCTGGATGTATTTTTATGCATATGAAAAGACAAGAAGAACAACCTATTCGAGTCGGATCGTGGGAAGACATGGTTCTCGTTATGAATGGGATCTTTGTTGCACTTGTAGGTGCGGTCGTAGGTTTCCTACCGAAAGCTATACTTCCACGTAGCTCCTCCAAGGTCTATACTCCATTCTTGGCCGATCCCCTCAAGAACATCACATTCCGAGCTTACGACACTTTAACCCTCCTCGTCTTGGCCATGTGGGCAGCTATGTTCTTGGCTCCTCGTAGGAACAGAGGTCGGAGATTAGGAAGAATCTGGATGTTCTGTCACTGTCCTCGGCATTAGCCGTAACCTGTCTTCTAACTGGTCATCATTAAAAGTAAAAATAATTAAAAAAACATCATTATCCAAGACATTCATAAAGGGTTTTATGTAATTTTTTAATCATTTTTACTTTTAATAATGACCAGTTAGAAGACAGGTTACGGCTAGTGCTTAGGATAATGACAGAACATCCAGGATTCAACCTAATCTCCTACCTCTGTTCCTACGAGGAGCCAAGAGCATAGCTGCCCACATGACCAAGACGAGGAGGGTTAAAGTGTCGTAAGCTCCGAAGGTGATGTTCTTGAAGGGATCAGCCAAGAATGGAGTATAGACCTTGGAGGAGCTACGTGGAAGTATAGCTTTCGGTAGAAAAGCTAAGAGCGCACCTACAAGTGCAACAAAGATCCCATTAATGATGCTCTTTTCGTAGGTCTTCATGTATCTTGCAGCCATATCTCCAATAGGCATTAGAATTCCCCAACTCACTGCGTTTATCAGTCCGTGGATTCGCTTGACGAGCAACATGTTTCCGTTTACTGATTTCGTAGCGGTTACTTGACCAGAAAGCAAATCCAAAGTAGCCATAGATTTTAGATGGTCTCCACTCATTGCGTGCATCCCAAGTCTATTTCCTTCCTTTAACGGGACCGTCTTGCCACAAGTGATTCACGACGGTTGTGTTAAGAGGCAAGACTAGAGTCGCGAAAATCGTCATCTCTCCATTGAGATACTCAGCGGAAACTTGGCTTACACGGAAGCTAAGAGGAGATTCTTGAAGCATAGTTGAGTAGCTAGTTATAGAGGAAGTATAAGCACGCATAGAACCAGAGGTTGAGTTACGATAAGCCACAAGAGCTTGAGCACCGAACATGCCTTTCTTTGTAGGGTTTATAGCCCAAGCGATCCAACTAGAAGACTCAAGATTGGCGTGACGGTAAGCAACATCGAGAACTCCGGTTTCTCGGACATAACTAAAGTGTAGAAACGAGTCTAACACCGGAAGATCCGTGCATGAACGAAGACGTTTTACGTTTTTGAAGCTGTGAGATTCACATATAGAAGCTTTAAGTTCTTGATCTGTTGTTGCTGTAGTAGAGGATGGAATCAACACGAAGAGGAAACACAACACGATCAAAGCGGTTCTTGAAGACAAAGACATGATGATTGTGTTTTTGCTTGGAGAACACGAAGCTTAATCTTCCGAAGACACGGAGAGAGAGTCTGCAAATAAATATTTGGAAGAAGAGATTGTGATTTTTTAGTGCTACAATACAAGCCCCACTTTTTATAGAGTTTTACATTCACTTCCTATTATATTTAGGTTTCCATATCTTTTGTCTTGTTTCCATTTTTTTGCTTTGCTATTAAATTTCCATATGTTTACTTAACTTTGTTTTCCGAACACTACAATATTTCATTTATTAACCAAAATATCTTTATCTAATCCATAATCCCTTTTAAATTGGACATATGTTTTGATTTTTCCTTTCTCATTTTTTTTTTGTTTTCAAAGAAATCTATATATAATAGCAAACCCAAAAAAAAGAATATTTTTGGGATATGACTTCTCGGTTTATATATAATGTTTGTTTTTAAGGGTTGCATCTTTTCGAAAGGTTATGTATTTTCTTAAAAAAACTGTTTGGTGGTTATTTCAAAAAATTGCATTTTCTCGATATAACCGTTTTGTCAAAAATTGCGTGTTTCAGATATAATCGTTTTGTCAAGAGTTGCGTCTTTTCGACATAACCGCTTTATAGTTATTTTTAAGGGTTGTGTCTTTTCAAAATAAACCGTTTCGCCTATATATATACTCTCTCCGTTTCAAAATATAAGTTATTTTGGAGGTTTTTTTTTTCAAAATATAAGTTGTTTTGACAATCTTATGTATTTTTTAACTTTATTAAATATTGTATGACCAATAATATTCTGTAGTTTCCTTTTTATTTGGTAAAT